CCTATGGTCACCTATACTGACATGGTAACCTCTACCTTCTAGGTAAGATCTAAACCATTTGAGGACCGTGCCAGATAGCCCAACCCAGTTTTCCAGCCTATCCAGAAGTATGCTGTGATCGACAGTGTCAAATGCAGCACTGAGATCCAACAATACCAGCACTGTTATTTTACCTGAATCTGTATTTAGGCGTATATCATTGATTATCTTTATAAGAGCGCTCTCTGTACTGTGATGTGCTCTGAACCCCGATTGAAAATTGTCTAAACACCCCCTGAAGTTTAAGAACTTGTTAACCTGGTTAAAAACAACTTTTTCAATGATTTTGCCAATGAAAGGGAGATTTGAGATTGGCCTGTAATTGCTTAATAGGGTGTTATTCAGGTTGCTCTTCTTCAAGAGGGGTTTAACAACTGCAGTTTTAAGTGAGTTTGGAAAAATCCCTGATAGAAGTGAAGCATTTACCACTTTTAGAAGATCCATTTCTAAACAGGTAAACACAGTTTTGAAGAATGATGTGGGAAGCGTGTCAAGACTGCAGGTTGATGTTTTCATAATTTGCACAGTCTCTTCTAAGATTTTGCTGTTAATTGCTATGAAATCAGACATAATGTCTGATTTCTTAAGTTGTGGTTGAGATTGTTTGATATCGACACAACTTGACTGATTGGATAAGCTGATTGCCTTTCTGATATTATTAATCTTATCAGTGAAGAAATGAGCAAACTCATTACATTTGCTTTCAGAGAGGAGCTCACTTAGAATCTGACTGGGGGGGTTTGTGAGTCTCTCTATCGTTGCAAAGAGTGTACGAGCATTATTTAAGTTGCTGTTTATAAGGCTTGAAAAGAAAGTCTGTCTAGCAGTGTTTAGTTCCATATTAAAGGCATGAAGACTGTCTTTATAGATGTTATAATGGACTACTAGTTTCGTCTTTCTCCACATACGCTCAGCTTTTCTGCACTGCCTTTTCATCATTTGTACTCTTGGTGACCTTGTCCAAGATCCCTTTTGCCTGCCAGTCATCTTCTTGACTTTAACAGGAGCGATGTCATTTATGACATTCTCAATTTTAGAATTGAACAAATCAAGGAGAGAATCAACAGAGTCTGCAGATATACTTGGTGCTAGCGAAATGGCCTTCATAAACTGCTCACTAGTGTTCTCATTTATGCATCTCTTTCTGACAGAGACAGATCTGTCTTTAATAGCTGGAGTGATCAATATATCAAAAAAGATACAGAAATGATCAGATAGTGCCACATCCTTAACAACAGTTGATGAAATGTGTAAACCCTTAGTTATAAGTAGATCAAGAGTGTGTCCACGATTATGTGTGGGTCCTTGAACATGCTGAGTCAGATCAAAAGTGTTAAAAACAGTCATCAGTTCTTTTACAGCATTGATTTCTGGATTATCAATGTGAATATTAAAATCCCCAGCAATACTAAAATAATCAAATTCAGAGGTTACTATTGATAACAGCTCTGTAAAATCCTCAATAAAAGCTGGAGAATATTTTGGAGGTCTGTAGATAATGATCAGTAAGATGCGTGGAGACCCTTTTAGTGCTATACTCAGATATTCAAAAGACAGATAGTCACCAAATGACACTTGTTTACATTCATACACATCTTTAAACAGGGCAGCGATGCCTCCACCTCTCCTATTAGCTCTGCAAACACTCAAAAAGTCAAAGTTTTAAGGAGCTGCTTCATGCAGAACTGCTGCGCTACAACTGTCATCTAGCCAAGTTTCAGTTAAAAGCATAAAATCAAGGCAATTTGTGTTGATAAAATCATTGACTAAAAGAGACTTATTGTTGAGTGATCTGATGTTTAAAAGCGCTAACTTAACAGTTTTAGCTGTTTTTCCTATAGTAGTCTCAGATCTACATTTAATAGACACCAGATTTAAATGATTTGCTATACGGCCTAATGAAGTCTTTGGTTTTCTGTCACTTAACACAACACATATCTGCTTAGAGAAAGCTACAGACACACTGGGTTCCTGCTTGTTCTGAAAACATTTGATAAAGACACTGTTATCTAAGCAGGTCCCCGACACACATCACAGAGAGCTCTTGTGTTCACCAGCTGAAGATGGGGCGTTGTTGTTTGGGCCTTGGCGGTGTGATCGGAGGGCTCTTCCAGGTGGGCTCATAGGTGGTTGTGGAGCAGGCCGCTTTTTGGTTGGTAACTGGGGGCTTGCGGCAATGGAGTGTGAAAGTTTAGTTCCAGCATACACCAGTTCCTCCATCTTTTTTGAAAAACCCAAGAGTGGTGAACATTGTGACAATGAGAATGTGTCCGGTGACAGAGGCTGTGCATCTGGAGATTCTGTCTGCAGAAATATGTTTTCCTGAGGATCATTTTTGAGTGACGAGACTTGATGCTGTTCTGATGCGTCACAGTCTGCCTGTGTTGAGCAGAGGGCAACTGATAGTGTCTCTATCAACATTGGGTGTTTTGGCTGCGTGGCATTATCACTGTCCTTGGGTGATTCGTCAGCCACAAGTCCACTCAGGAGCTGATTTGAAGTCCTGTGGTCATCCGGACATTTGCTAGGTGTGTGTTTGCAATTCAGTTCAGTGGCACACACAGCTGATGGATGATTGAGGGAGAAAAAAATATTGTCCTTTAGCACTTTGCACCAAGCTTGTTTGGATGAAGGCCGTCTGATGTAAACAGCTGTCTTTGGTTCCAGAAGAGATTGAAGTTGTCGATGAAATTCAGTCCTTTCTTGTTACATGTTTTCTGTAGCCATACATTTAGACCAAGAAGCCGTGAAAACATATTTGTCCCTCTTGCAGGGAGTGGTCCACTTATGAACGCCTGAACCTTCAATCTTTCAGCTGTTTCCAAGAGCTCACAGAAATCTTTCTTGAGCAGTTCTGACTGTTCTTTCCGAATATCATTCTTCCCCACATGGATGATAATCCGTTTTGCCGTCTTGTGCTTTTTCAGAATTTCCTCAAGTTCTTTGTTTACATCAGAAACTGTTGCATGAGGAAAGCAGTATGTCATTGTAGATCTGCTCCTGAAATTCTTGATTATTGAATCTCCTACGACTAGTGTTCTTACCTCAGGTGCGATCGGAGCAGAATGCCGCTGTCTAGTCGGCCTTGAGCCTCTGTCCATGCAGAATTAGTTGCTGAATCATGCGATCTCTGTCTGACTACATTTGGGGATTCTTCACACATATTACTCAAAACTTCATATCTGTTCTGAAGCTGTATTTGAGTCCGAGCTGTATTTGGGGTAGAAGACGCTAATGCGGCAGCGTATGATCTGACCCCTCGAGTACCCTTTGGTCTCGCACCTTGTTTATGCCAATGCTCATTTTCAACAGTTCTTTTCTGTTTTTCTGTGCTCAAAACAGTAGCAGGAACAGATTTATGGGACTCACCGGCTGTGTGCTGAGAGAATCCATAATGAAGCTGAAGTTCTGGTCGGATCGCAAGCAACTTCGTTTCAAGAACTGCAATCTTTTGTAGAAGTTTGTGGCAGTTTGTACAGCAGTGAGAATCTGAATTAATCCGATCCAGAGGCATTTTCACAGCCGTGTCTTCCCGTCTCCGGAATGTAAGCAGCTGATAGCTGGTAGCGGGAGGATTGTTTAGACGGTAATTCCTTTCTTGTTAGTAAAGCTATATTCCAGAAAGTTTGTAGAATCGATGCTGATCTTCAAGCCGTGTTGTTTGAGCACTGTGCTGATAGGCTCAAGTTAAAATTAGGGTATAAGATATAAAAGCAAGAGTGCGAAGAGCGGAGCAGTGGGCAAAGACGTCCGAACAGTAGCAAAGCAGGAAGAAGCTGCTTTGCTTATTACTAAGATCTAGTAATAAGACCTAAAATTAATTTGGGACCATTGTCAACACATTTTGCACAAGCACCAGAATTAAGAACCACTGCTCTGAGGCTTCATCTTGGTTTATAGTTGAACAAGCCATCCTACTTCCCTTCCACCACTAAAATTTCTATCTATATATCTATCTATATATGTATTCATTTTATTTTTTAAAGGTGTTATTTTTTAGGCTGACCTCAAAAACATAATAATTTTTACTGACAGAATTGTAGGTGCAGGCTAGGACGGTCTCTGATATTTGCAGATAACATTGTGCTTTTGGCTTCATAGGACATGGAACTTCAGCATGCATGGTTTGCTGCATTATGGTTTGCTGCTAAGTGTGACATGGCAGGAAAAAGAAACAGCACCTCTAAGTCAAAACCATGGTGCTTGACTGGAAAAAGGTGCCCATCTCCAGTTTGTAGGAGAGTCCTTACCCCAAATGGAGTTTAAGTATTTGCATTAATTTATTTTTTCTTCATGTGGAATGGAATGTGAGATTAAAAGATGGATCAGTGCAGTGGCAGCAGTAATGCAGTTGATGTGATTGTCTGTTGTGGTGAAGGAGCTGAGATGAAAGGCAAAGTTCTCAATTTACCACTCAATCTAGGTTCCTACTCTCACCTATGGTCATGACTGAAAGGTCAAGATCTCGGATACAACCGGACACATTTTACAAAGTGTTATGGCCCGCTTGTTTGAGTTGCAACATAAACGAGAGATGAGCCAACAAAATAGCCTAAATGCAAATTATTTATAATAAAATGTAACTCACAGAACAATCAATCAAAGCAACCAACAAATGTCTACGGATAATAATGAAGATAAAGAACTTAGGACATAATCACAACAACACTTTAACTACATGATAAAAGTAATGCAATACAAAACCATAAGGTTTAAGAGTCAATGAGATGGCAGGTCTTGACATGAGGACTCCAGAGTAGCAACACCTTTCTGGGGTAGCTAGCGGAGTCTATGTAAATGGTTTCTCTCCAGTGTGGGTCTTCATGTGTTTATTAAGGTCTGATGAGTTACTGAAACTCATCCCACATCGAAGCTGCAGTCACACTAGAGTTTTAGCATGAGGGGCGGGATTAAACAAGATGATTCGACATGAATGGTTTCTCTCCAGTGTGGCTCATGATGTGTCGATTAAGGGATGATGATTGGCGGAAACTCTTTCCACACTGAGTGCATGTGAATGGTTTCTCTCCAGTGTGGATTTTCATGTGACTGTTAAGGTGTGACAATTGGTTGAAACTCTTCCCACACTGAGTGCATGTGAATGGTTTCTCTCCTGTGTGGATTTTCATGTGTTTATTAAGGTGTGACGATTGGTTGAAACTTTTCCCACACTGGGTGCATGTGAATGGTTTCTCTCTAGTGTGGATCCTCATGTGTTTATTAAGGTATGATGATTGGCTGAAACTCTTCCCACACTGAGTGCATGTGAATGGTTTCTCTCCAGTGTGGATTTTCATGTGATCGTTAAGGTGTGATGATCTGTTGAAACTCCTCCCACACTGAGTGCATATGAATGGTTTCTCTCCAGTGTGGATTTTCATGTGTTTATTAAGGGTTGATGATCGGTTGAAACTCTTCCCACACTGATTGCATGTGAATGGTTGCTCTCCAGTGTGGATCCTCATGTGAAGATTAAGGTATGATGAGCAGCTGAAACTCTTCCCACACTGAGTGCATGTGAATGGTTTCTCTCCAGTGTGGATCATCATGTGAATCTTAAGATGGCCTTTTCTTCCAAAACTCTTTCCACACTGAGTGCATGTGAATGGTTTCTCTCCAGTATGAATCCTCATGTGAATCTTAAGATCGCCTTTTCTTCCAAAACTCTTTCCACACCGAGTGCAGGTGAAACGATTCTTGTCTCTCCTTTTCAAAATACCATCAGTGTGTAAATGAGTTTTTTCCTCAATTTTGACATGATGTTCCTCCTCTTTACTCCCCTCATTCTCTTCAATTCGTTCTGAAATAAATAAATAAATAAAATAAGTTTTCATTAAGTCTTAAACATTCTCATTACAAGCTGAAAAGTGAAGACACTGGAAACATTGGCTACACACACTGTAATTTTGATGCACATTAAATGTAATATAAATCAGATCATATTTTGTTTGGTCCATTAACATGTACACATTTAAGCAGATTCAATTCATCTTTTTTATCTAGTGCTTTTACCATGTAAAATGTGTCAAAGCCGCTTAACATAGAAGTTATATTATATGGACTCTATGCACGAACTCTGCTGACGTGGTTCTGGTAGAATATCAGTCAGGCTCTTTACGTCTACATAGGCGCTCTACGCCTAAATCTAATAGCGGCGAAACCTAAATGCATCAGAGGATGGCAAAAAAGGGAAATTTACTCTTAAATTGATGATGATCAAGTGCCAGTGGATGTCCAGCATCTGGAACATCATTTTTGTTCAGTTCCAAAACCCACAATAGTTGATTAATACACCAAATCAGTCTGACAATTTCCGTGAAGAGGTGGAATGACCAAAAGGAGACTGCGAGTATTTATATGCAAAACCTAATCAAAGTACCCATTGGGTCTTAAAAGCATTTATAAAAGTCTTAAATTTGATAATCTCAAATTAAGGCCTTAATAGCCTTGAATTATTATACAAAGTCTTGGGTTTTGTTACAAAGGTCTTATTTTAATCATTTATATTACCTTTCTTAGAATTAAGTTCATATAATAACAAAATTAACTGTAACTAATGTAAGCTAACTAAAAAATCATGCAGCGCAACGTTGAGTACATCTCACGCTCCACGTAATAGCAGAAAGCACAAAAGCATGCACACCCGTTACTATGGTTACTTGAGGTGAGCTACAGAACAAGATCGTTACTAGTCTAGTTTGTGGGTTTGTTTAATCCGCTTTGGCCAAGGAATCCGAATTACGTTTGGGTCAAACCTTTAAGCTAGCAACGATGGATGTTACAGCCCTGGACTCCCATATAAGGGGTGCCAAACACACCGTGTGTAGTACTGCTCATCAGCGCAAACACCTATTGTGGAGTTCTTTGCACTGGAGACCACTTCGGTTACTAAAACACCTTTGGCTATCAGTAATTAGGAAATTTCTACATTAGAAGCATTGAAACCATGGAGTGTTGGGCAGTAGCGTCGCTACAAGTAGTGACGGTACTAGCGTAACTATATTTCTCAGTAGCGTCACTACTTTCTAAATCAAATAGCTTTTGTGTAGCGAAGCTATTATTTTAGTCAAGTAGTGTCCACACAATCTACATATACTGATTGCGGATCAATAAGTGATGGCACTGACACTCACGTAGCTTGGAGGCCGGTGTCTAGGCGATAAAAGTAAATCCATATTTTGTCGAGAATGTTAATTTCTTCTTTCTGTTTTACAATGGTCGACAACAAACTTTTTCATCATTGGGCTGACACGAGAAGCTTGATTGAAAGATGAATGAGTGATATATATATATATATATATATATATATATATATATATATATATATATATATTAGGGATGTAACGGTATTGTAAATTAACTTAATTCGATATTACCGTAGTAATCCACCTAGCTCTGTTGGCATCTGCAGAGATTTAAGTTTTTTTGCCATTCCATATAAATCTAGAAAAAGCACTTTCAAGCTGTGCAGAGTCTTTCCTGCTTAACCATAAGGGTGTCATTTGAAAAGGGTATAATAATCGGGGGAGAATATTCATCTTAATTAAGCTTATTCTACCAAAGAGTGAAAGGGGAAGGGTTTGCCAGCGGTTTAAGTCTTTTTTTCAAGTGGTGCTCGCTGCAGAGCCATTTGGGCGAGCTGAGCTCCAGCGAGGGGGAGCTTGAGCTTGAGCTCCACCTTTTTTGCACTTCTTCTCCGAGTGATGTCACTGGGGTTAGGGTTAGGGGTGGGGTTGGTGTACGCATTAAAACAGCTTACAGGAGGCAGAGCGAGAGCTCATGCTCCCCCTCGCTAGAGCTCAGCTCTGCTCAAATGGCTCTGCAGCGAGCACCCTCTCCTTTTTTTTAGACCATTTGAACAATTGGGGCATAATTGAGTTTCCCTAATTTATTTAAGTCAGTTGACACTTTAATTCCGAAATAAACAAATCCAGATTTTGACCATTTAAAAGAAAAATTTACTGTAGATTCAGCATCGAAATTACCTACTGGCAATGCTTCTGATTTATTGGAGTTAATTTTGTAGCCAAAATCTAAAGCTAAAGCTAATTTTTTTTGCAGCTAAAAAAAAATTGCAGCTAAAAAAAAGCTAAAATTTTTAAGCTAAAATCTTTAAAAAATTATAGTGTTCAGGTGATGATAAAAACAGCAGAATATCATCTGCATAAAGTGCAATTTTGTGTTCACAACTCTTCATTGATATACCCTTTATATTTTTTATTCTGTCTGATAGCTTTTGTTAGAGGTTCCAGAGCCAATGCAAACAGAAGAGGGCTCAGTGGGCAGCCCTGCCTGGTGCCCCTAGCAAGTGGAATAGGATCTGACCGTAGACCATTAGTAACAACGCAAGACATTGTGGAGTGATAGATCATTTGAATCTCTTTTAGAAATTCACCCTTTATACAGAATATATGCAGAGTTTCAAACAGATAACTCCACTCAACCCCATCAAAAGCTGAAGATGCAGAGATTGCTTTATAGTTTTGTTGATTGGTGTACTGTATAACTTTCATAAGTCTTCTTATATTTGTAATAGAGAAATGTTCTGTACAAAGCCTGTCTGGTCTGGGTTTATAAGGTGGGGGAGAACTATCTCGAGTCTCCTGGGCAGGAGCTTAGAGAGTATCTTGGCATCTAACCCAATCAAGCAAATAGGTCTATATGAACTACGTTCATCAGGTGATTTATTTTTCTACCACTCGATTTGAACATTTTTAACCTGCTTGGAAAACCAGATTGAGACAAATCCTGCATGTTCGTAGCAAGTGCGCATAATTTACGCTTATATTAGTGAGTTTGCATTATTGTATAAAACGTATGCAAATGCCTAATGCCTCCTTTGCTGTAAACTGGAATGATGAGGAGATGGCAAGATGACATACTTTGTTACATGTTTTCAATCATTTGTACTTTCGTCTTTGTTTTCTTGCCTTTGTGCATGTCCTAAAGCTTAGCTGAAGACCTACGTGGCGACATTGTATATACCCAACAAGATGCAGAAATGCCATCTAAAAAGGTTTCCTGCTGTTTGTCCAATCAGGGACAGTGGCAATGTAAATATACAAATAATAATGTTAACCCTGGGTTTGTGAATGTGAAACATCTGTTAATGAACATCTAGGATTGTATTTTAACCCCAGGTATAACATGAGCAGTGTGGAACGTGATTACAGATAACCCAGGATTCTGTTTATCCAGAGTTAGAATGACCCAGGGTTAACAATTTTTGCATGCTGTAATCCATATCTAAATCAGCAAAAGTCTTTTTTAGACTAGTTTGTTGGCCAGTTGTAGTCAGTGCAATGCTAAACATTATTGTTCCACCATAATTTGTTTGTTTTGCCTCATGTCATCCCACAACAACATCATATAGTTTAGAATACTGTACAATGTTTTAAAATAATTAATTATCTAAGTGTCCATTTCATTCAGAATATTTAATATTGGGGGCATCCACGATTTTTGACAAACTTCAAACAAGACCATTTTGGTTATTTGCTGTTTGAGAATGAAAATCAACCTGTTTGTTCCTGCAGATCTTCCTGTTTGACTGTGAATGTTTCTTCAATCTTCACATCTTCACTCTCCTCTTTAATAAACGCCATCTTTATAACTGTGTGGAGATCAGTCGCTTCAGCAGTAGTTTTTCTCTGCGTTTGGACACTTTATCCTGTTTAAAATGAACAAAACAATAAAATTTTTTTTAAATAAATAAAACAATGAAGAGAAACAAAATAACTTCTCTTCAACACTTGCTTCAACAGTTTCTTTATAAGAGAGTCATTAACAAAAACAAATCAGGTAAGTCTGTGGAAGAAACAATGACCTGATTAAAACTAGTAAGTTACTTCATTTCTTTTATACTTAAAATGGAATGACATTATGCTATGTAATAAATTAAAAGGTTATTAAAATATGTATTAAATTTCTGTTAACTTATTCAAACAATAGCTCTCATTACTGTCAGTAAAATAGTATTACGTTGTATAAAAGGTTAAATAATATTGTCAACAGCAGGTTCTAAATTTAGCATCAGATGAAAAACCTGAAACTTTAATCAATCAGTTCATATTTTTGTTAAAGTTTTAAACACAAACCCCTCTCCAGTTGAATTCCAGCGCAGGAACGGTGCAGCCTTATGACGTCACACGTCACGCCAAAATAAAAGTCTTTTTTTTTGCCACTTACTGTTGCAGTCATGACTTATTGATACATTTCTCCCTCATTTTCCACTTTCCGCTATATCTGCTCTCTGTCTCTCTCTCTCTCACTCTCTCTCTATCACACACAACACACACACCTTGATTATAAATATCATTGTAAATACACTGATTATTATTTGTATTACTGTTTTATCTTAAAATGTTGATTGTTAAATGTAAAGTATATTCTGATCTATTTTGTATTGATTTGTATGAATAATATATGTTGAACAGTAATATAATGTATTGAATATTAATGTGATATATTGAATAATATGATGTATTGTTAAAATGTTATTTACTTATTATATATAAATATCTTTCTTTTTTATTAGAGAGAGAGAGAGAGAGAGCAAGGGGAAGTTGAAGTGGAAAACGAGAGAAAAATGTATTAATAAGTCATGACTGCAACAGTAAGTGGCAAAAAAGCG